GGCATTTTAACTCATCAGATAGCCCTGCTGTTCCATTCTTGTGAATACTCTAGCCATGACAAAACTCAATAGGACACAGACAAATCCAATAAATAGAAGAAGAAATCTATTGAGTTTTGGAATGTTTGGTACATTCGATCTGTCCAGGATTATGTGCCCTAAGCCTCCCATTGTAGACAGGAAGCTGGATGTGAGTCCTTCCATAATATATTGTCCAAGCAAGCTACTGGTCTCTGATGTTCATGTTGATCGGTCATAGAGCCAACACTTGGAGGTTCAACAGTAACATCATCAGTGATTCTTCTGGTGATGAGGAAGTAAGAATAAACTATTTCCCATGATGGTCAAGCTAAAGGAAGCACTTAGATAGCTTTTGCTATCGGGTTGGACCTGTTCTAAGGACTGAACATATAATGACTCGTTATCCCACATTCTTATATTATTTGTAAGAGACAGTGTTCAATCCATCCACTGATCTATCACAATTTAATTGGATGTCTTTGACCCGTCTTCTGATAAAGAAGACATTTGGTGCTGAGGTGCATTTTTAGAGGTTGAGGACCAGTGCTCTAGAGCAAAAGCTGTCTTTCTGATTCTGTGTCTTCTCTTCCTACGAATATCCCAGCCTGGGATATGGAGCTCACTCCAATAAAGAGTGAGCTCAGTTCTTGGTCCTGGGGAAAGCTCTGACCAACTCATAAGGTCCTCTCTCTCTCTGACCCTAAAACCATAAACATTATCTTCTGAGTGGGAATGTGGCCTTCCTAGCTGAGAAGTCAGCCTCTGACAGGACAACATTCCTGGAGGGTCAGTGTCCTTAACACTTTCTGAGCAAACGTGGATGTTCTCTGAGTCCGGTTTGGGGATAAGGTGGTAGTGTCAGGACGTATAGAAAGTATGATGAGTCAAGGGCAAGACTTTATGATGGTGTTCAGGTGATTTTTTTGAAATAATAGCTCCAAAAAAGGTTACACTTAATCTTATTTTCCACTTATTTCTTTAAAGAATCCAAGGATGTAAATTAATCTTTTCTGACAAAGATACCCCATCAGATGCAACAGTCTCTTTTTTTTTTATGATTATTTATTTGACAGAGAGAGAGAGAGCACAAATAGGGAGAGCGGCAGACAGAGGGAGAGGGAGAAGCAGGCTCTCCACTGAGCAGGGAGCCCGATGCGGGGCTTGATCCCAGGACCCTGGGATCATGACCTGAGCTGAAGTGAGGGCAGCCGCTTAACCAACTGAGCCACCCAGGTGCCCCAAGATGCAGTAGTTTCAGTTAGGGCTATTCCTTGGTTTCGTTTGTGGTAGGTAGTCCACTGTCATTTTCTAGGATCTTTCTTTTACTCTGTGCAGGAACAAACTGGTGCATTACATGGAGAGACAATCGTGCATCCTTCGGGTCTGTTTGGTCCATCTGTCACTCTCCCTGGGAGGACGGCTTCATTTACTGCCCCGGCTGTGGATCAGGGAGTCAGTGTCAGGCCTTCTCTGCTGGGAAATCTCTTCCGTCACATGCGGAGATGGCAACGTAGCAGTTTGCCGACTACCACATATAGCCTTCTAACCGCACACTTGGGGACACGAGAAATTTCTACCAGATGGATCCCTGGCCTTAGTGGATGCACTGTGAACCAGACCTGGGCCAAGACTACCGCTGCTTGGTCCCCATAGCCTCTGCTCTCACCGGGGGCCCTGGAGACATATTGGGCCCTCCAGTATCAATGTCCCCCTGGATCTTATGTACAACAGTCCTTGAAATGTGAGGGTATTTCTTTCTTGATTTTATGGTTACTGAGTGAATGGTCAGAAGTCCCTTTAGAAAAGGAGTGGGGAAATTACTTTCTATATATTTGTGGAGGTGTTGCAGGTCTTACTTTCTCAGGACTTGGCTTCTCCTTTAGTCAGGGATTCTGGGTCTGAAAACGGGTTCGAGATCAGAAGCTGAGCAAGGTGTTGTGATTTTATTTGTAACTGGGGTTGCTGCCCTCAGTCCCCTATTCTTGGTTTCTGCTGATTGTACAGACGAGGATAACCTGTGCTGGCTGTTCATCTACTTTGCTTCTGGGGAAGCTGTGTTCTATGAATCATCTCCAACACTCTAGAGAGTTGACTACCCCCCCGCCCCCCCACCCAGATTCTGGTGGATGAGTGCTGCCATCTCTGGCCTGAGTCATTTCAGGATCCTATAGTCTGCATTGCTAACAGCAACACTAACCACTTCTTTTTTTTTTTTTTTTTAAAGATGTTATTTATTCATTCATGAGAGACAGAGGGATAGAGAGAGAGAGAGAGAGAGAGAGAGAGAGAGAAGCAGAGGGAGAAGCAGGCTCCCAAAGAGTAGGGAGCCTGATGCGGGACTCGATCCCAGGACCCTGGGATCATGACCTGAGCGGAAGGCAGACGCTTAACCATCTGAGCCACCCAGGCGCCCCAACACTAACCACTTCTATAGCAGAATCTCTCAACAGCCCAGGCCTTTCCAGGACACTCACCGCACAACTTCTCAGTGATCCTGCACATTTCTTTTTATTTTTTCGAACTCCTGCAACATCGTCACCAGTGGGTTCCCAGCATCACGTGGTAAATCCATTCCAGTGTGGACACTTCTCTCAGCTTTTGATCCCCCCTTTCTGTCGTCAGGCACAACAGTCCTGGCGTTTCTGCTACATTTATTGAGAGCCATTTCTTTTTCCAAGCAGGAGAATCCAAACGGTGTGTTGGGTTCTTGCCAATGTATAAAATTTCTGCACATTGGGAAAATGCTCCCATATCAACGAACTCTCCTGGAGCTAACTTTGTGTTCCATGCCCCTTGATCCAGAACCCTTAGAATCTAGTTCTTTATGGGACAGATGTTGGGTAGGTGGCAGAGCCCATGATCTTTAGCAGAACAGAAGCTTCTGCGTTGTCCTCAAGCAAAAAGGACATGCTTACCCTTAATAAGGAGAACTCGGGGTCTTGGAAAATCTGGGGATTTAGATGTTCTAAGTCATCCAACCAGATGCCTCCACCCAGTGTCTCAAGGTTCTATTCTTTTCCAGTCAAGGACATGACCTGAGCATAGAAGATAACTTAGTTTGACAATTTAACCTTCTTTGGAGCTCTACTATTCCTACAATTAAATCTTGGACCTGAACCTTAGGTTTTTGTGCCCTCGGGTTGCAGGATATGAGAGGTTCTTTATCTCCTCTTATGGAGGCACTCTGGCTTCCACAGTTAGCCTTTATTTGGTCAATCACCCTCAGCCTTTAATCATCTCTCTCCAAAGCATCAATTTCTTCTAGTAACCATCTTAAAATTGCCCTAAAATAATATCGCCTTAAAAGTACCACCTCTCCCACATTTCTCAAGCACCTGATACATCACACCCACCAATAAGTATCCTTTCACCAGTGTAACCACCTCATTCAGGCTTGGTGAAAGTTTTAAAAATTGCTATGGGGCACCTGGGTAGCTAAGTCAGTTAAGCGTTGCACTCTAGGTTTCGACTCGGGTCATGATCTCAGGGTTGTGAGATCGAGCTACGTGTCGGGCTCTGCACTGGGCACAGAGTCTGCTCAAGATTCTCTCTTTCCCTCCCTCTTCCTCTGCAACCCCCCTCTCTCTCCCTCTTTAAAAACATTAAAAAATAAAAAGTGCACTGCTACTCTGTACCCGTGGCTGTTTGTGCTCCAACCATCCCTTCACTGCCAGCCGGATGGTGGATAGCTCAGCTTCAAAACTCTAAAACTCTCATCCTAGCACTTTCTTTCTCAGATCCCTTCTGGTGCCAGCCACTGCAGGTTGGGTTACCTGTAAAGACTCAAAGGTGGAAATTTGCACGCAAAGCTTACTGGAGCACTACCTCAGGGTCAACAGAAAGGCATCTGACCCTCAAGGGTCTCTGCAGCTGGGATGGGCCCTTCAGAGCTGTCCCAAGTTGAGAAGTCAGGTTTTACCTTTTATAACCTCCATTGACCAGTAATTGGATACAGGCTGCCCCTGGAAAAGGGACATGACCTCGACCTGAGATCATTCCCAACAAGGGGTAACAGTTGAGAACCACCAGGTGACAACCTCCCAAAGATCTGGGTGGATAATTCCTTCTATCCAAGGGGTTCAGGTAATCTGGGAAACACACCATCTGTGACAGTCCCAGTGAGAAAGAAGAGAGGGACGAGACAAGTTTGAGCACAGGATAGGGGATAAAAACCACCACAGTGATGCCAGACGCTGCAGAAAACATTTTATTGGAGACAGTGCAGAGCTGGTTCTGGAGCTGAGGAAACTAGGGCGGAGAGGGGAAAGCCCATCCTTCAAAGGATGCCTTGCCCAGGGGTCTTGACCTGAGTGCACTGGAGGTCAGACAGGAGGGAAGTTTCTGTAGGATCTAAATTAGAGGGAGGCTCTGGGTCCCACTATCACGGAGATGCCCCTCTTTCCATGCAAGGCCGTCTCCTGCTCCCACTCCACCTTAGGGTTCCTAAACCAGAATGACCAGTCAGCCTGCGTGTGGGAGGGTGGGTGTCATGGATGAACACTGATGTGAAAAGACTTGGAAACTGACAATACGTGTTTGTCCTAGGGGAGGGAAAGTGTTATGAGCTGGAACCTAGGCTGTGCAGCTACCATCCCACTCTTATTTCTACACCTTCAGGGTGGAGAGAGAAGGGGGAACATTCCGTCTAGGAACATTCTTCTTCAGGATGTCATGGCAGACTGAGCCATCCTCATGGAAGGCTGATTTTCCTTTGATGGTTAGGAGTGATTAAATTTAGAACAGAGGTCTAAGGATTTAGGGTTTCCATTCTTTTGTTCTTCTCCCACATATATACTCTTGCAAGGAGAAATAGCAGTAGCCTTCTGAATATAATTCTACTTGGTAGAGAGTGGGAACTCTGGTGGCATTGAGTGATTTAGTCAAGTGGAGGCCATTTAGGAAGAGTGTAGTGAAATACGGAATTTTTTTAAAGGTCTTCGGATAAGAAGCAGGGTGGCTCCTCCCCCAAACCGGCCTTCCTATTTACTTTTGGACTGTCTCAGGTACTCCAGGATGTCTGACTTGACCGTGCTGATGGGAGTCCGGTGGAACCAGCGCATGACAGGGACTCCATCAGGCCCCACCAAGAACTTTTCAAAGTTCCAGCGGATGTCGTTGACCTTTACAGGATCCCAGGATATATGTCTGAATAAGCCCAGAACCTCAGAGGGGTGAGGGCAGGAGAGCTGGAGCAGAGATGGAACAGACAGACAGCATCATTTCTGTTATTTTCACCCACAGGGAATCTGCTCCCTCCCATGCCTAGATATTCTGATTTCCTGTGATTCTTAACAAATCCTCTGGATCGCCACCACGCCAACTATCAAGATGGTTGTAGATATAACAGCAAAGGTCTGTTCCCTCCTCCTGTTCCCCTGTGACCCCTGTGATCACAAAGCCACGCCACTGTGAGTAAGATATGTCACCTCTGTGGCTGTCAGTTTCCTTTTTGGCAAAACGAATGGTTTAGATTAGAATGCAGTTTCCCAGGTCTTAGGGCTCCTGGGCCAGTAGCATTCCAAAAATATTTTTGGGACAAACATGGAGGTCCAACATTTTGTTTTGTCAAATAATAAAACTTTTGAGAAACAACATCACTTTATCATTTAATTTAAAAAAAGATTATTGTAAGAATAAATTACATATAGGTCCTAATCTTAGAATAACCCTATGAGTCAGTTGAGTTTATGAAACCCTCCTTACACTGTCCTTTTCTCTTCAATTTGCTGAGGGTATATAAAAATCTCTATCTGAGCCAGTGCTGGCTTGCCATTCAGCCTTTAGGAACAACTAACAGCTGGTGGTTAGAGACCCTATCAGCCTTCAGTTCTCTGTATCTAAAAGTCAGTGGTTCATAAAAGGCAGTTACTACATGGTATTAACCTATTGATTTCTACTTCCCCCTCTCCAGTAGGAACCCATCAAGGACTAGGGACTGTGTCTTATCCTTCTTTATATCCATCTTATTTAGCAAACTGCCTCATACTCAGCAAATGTACTTTGAATGAATGAATGTCAATGAGCAAAAGAGGGTGGTCCTCGGAAACACAGCCACTCTACATAGCCCTCTCCATCATGAAAGCCAGAATCTCATAAATACTAACAAATTAAACCCGGATCTCTATGCTAACATGGGGACCTCTTGCCAAGAATCCAATGTCACTTCCAGGCATGAGCCTTGGGTCCATTTCCACCACACCAGCTCTCTGCTAGGAATGCCAGGGAAGAAGAGGTTTGGGTCAGTAATTCACTCACCTTCAAGAAGGTGAAGACCTTCTGTTCCTTCTCGCCATTCACATCCCCTTTCTCAAAGAGCTGGAAATTGGGTACGTATCCTCTCCCTGGACGGACGTACCTGCAATGAGCCACAGCATTCCCAGGAAGCTCCAGAATGTAGAAGAGAAAGTTGTGGTGGGCCACCAGGATTAGGGGTCACAGGAGGGGCAGGAAGAAGGAAAGATGGGGAAAACAGGGCTGGGAAGGGAAAATAAGGCCATTTCTCGACTTGGGGCTCCCTGATTCACGTAATGTTTCTCGTTCTGCTGTGCTCCCTGCGCTGCTTCCGTCCCAGCTGCGTCTGTGTTCCTGCACCCCTGTGGTCCACCCAGATCTCACTCCCAGGGAGAAGGAGAGTCTCTGGACTCTGCCAGACTCACATCAGGGTCAGACAAAGCTGATGTCAGTTTGCAGGTGCCCCCAACCCACACCCACCCTGGAGACCGAAGAAAGGTAGACAGGGGCCTCCTCTGGGGTTCCAAGCAGGCACTTACTTCAGCCCCAGAAGAATCTCTGAATTCTCTCCTGGTTCCTGCTTTCCGAACTGGTTGCAGGGAAAGCCCAACACGACCAGGCCCAAGGGCTTCAGCTCCTCCTGAAGGGCATTCAGTTCTGTGGGTAGAGAAGGGACAACAAGGAGGCCCGACTAGAGACTCTGCCTTGGGAGAGAACAATCTGTACTCCTTTTCAGGGAAAGAGAGGACTAGGGAAGGAAAAATCTCTAGATTGGAAAGACTCTTAGTGGCAGGGCTGAAGTTAGATGCTGGAGCTCCAGACACGCATTCAAAAGCCCTTTATTATAGGGTAATATTTCCCAAATCTGTGGTACATCCAAATCAGCTGAGGCCCTTCCTTAAAAATAGGGATGACCACGTCCCATCCCAGATAATTCTCTGATTCCCTTCTTATGAGACTTCAGTCATCTTTATTATTCAAAACCTCACCAGGTTCCTGTTGATTGTAAAAGTTGCAGCTGCTTATGGAAAGTGTATGGAGGTGTTACCAATGGGCTCAGTTTCAGGTTGACCAGATAAAAGTGTTCTAGAGATTTGTCTCATAAGAATGTGAATACACTTAACACAACCAAACAGTACACTTAGAAATGGTTAAAATTGGAAATTTTATGTCATGTCTCTTGTTAACCACATACATACAAAAGCTTGCCTTCCCTGGTTGGTTAATTGCTAGGCTGAATCTTTCTTTTGAATTTTTCTTAAGATTTTATTTATTTATTTGAGAGAGAGATCACAAGAGGGGGTATGGTCAGAGGAAGAAGCAGACTCCCCACTGAGCAGGGAGCCCGATGCGGGACTCCATCCCAGGACTCCGGGAACCATGACCCAAACCAAAGGCAGTCGCTTAACCAACTGAGCCACCCAGCCGCTCTGAATCTTTCTTTTTTAAAGGAAAAGACACAGGTGAAGAGAATGGGCTTCTCTCCTCTGTACAGACTGGGTGCCCTGGGTGGAGCAGAGATAAACCTGATAGGTGCAAAGAGAACCAGAAAAATTCCAGGTCGAGCTTCCTGGTGTTCAACAATCCTCAGGATGTTGAAGATACATTCTACCTACTGGTCCTCACTGACATGCCAAAACACAAGATTGCACCTTCCTTCTTTCACTGTTTTCCAATCTGATTGCTCAGATTTTTATAATCAACTTCTCTGTTAACACTTTCTGGGCTAGGTGGCTAGTCACTAGTCAGTCCCACTGCACGGCCAACTGGTCAACTGGCACTTCCTCTGAGTCCTGTTTTCTTCTCCTTCTTCCTTTTCTTTCCTTCCCTTCCCTTTCCTTCCCTTCCCTTCCCTTCCTTTCCTTTCCTTCCTTT